CCGCGCAGTTGCAGTGAAGACCATTGGGGGACTCGATGAGGCTTCTGAAGCCGCGCAGTCGCAGTGAAGACCATTGGGGGACTCGATGAGGCTTCTGAAGCCGCGCAGTCGCCGTGAAGAACATTGGGGGACTCGATGAGGCTTCTGAAGCCGCGCAGTTGCAGTGAAGACCATTGGGGGACTCGATGAGGCTTCTGAAGCCGCGCAGTTGCAGTGAAGACCATTGGGGACTCGATGAGGCTTTGGAAGCCGCGCAGTTGCAGTGAAGACCATTGTGGAAATGGACCATTATGACCATTTCATAAAATTAACCCTTGCAGTGGAGCTACCCCTACACTACAAGTGTTAGGTGCTCATTTTGCTCTTAGGGCCGGAGCCGGCTTCCTGGCCAATCAGGAAGCCGGGCGCCGCGTCATTACAAAGCGCGCGGCTTCCTGATTGGCCAGAAAGCCGGCTCCATGCTTTCTTGTCACCCAGTGACAAGAAGCATGGGGACGGCTTCCCTACTAATCAGGAAGCTGGGTGGCGAGTCTTTACACGCCGCCTGGCTTCCTTAATGGGACTTCGTACTCGATACTGAAATACCGGTATCGGTGCGTCCCTAATTTTAAATTGCGGAGATCCCCTTTAAAAAAGAACTATGGGGTAACCTTTTTATCCCATAGTTTTCTTTAGGGTCATGGGATGACATATACACTGAGTGGCCAGATTATTATGACCACCCCATCAGTACTTCGTTGGGCCACGAGATGACTCCACGAGAAGGTGAAAGGTGATGCGAGGAATCTGACACTGCACTGTTGCCCTTCTGTTGTCCTGTACCAGTCTTGCCACTCTCCGTTCTGCCCTAACATTGACTAGTCGCTGACGGCCACAATTCGCACGTTCAGACCCAGATTTGCGGTTGACAGTCATGTCTTTAAAGACTTTAACAATGAGCCCCTCTTGAACATTTAACGAATTCTGCTATTTTGCTGATACTCGCTCCATGGCTCCGAGCGCCAACAATCATCCCACGTTCAAAGGCTGTTAAATCGCATTGTTTACCCAAATCTTCAGAAAACAATCCCTTCTACTGTTGTGGTAAACAACCTGCTTCCCTATGTATAATGGTCTGGCCCTCTAGCAACTTCAGCGCAAAATTATAGCTAATTTGCCTACAAACGTCAGGTGGTCATAATAATCTGGCCACTCAGTGTATGTCCCCCCATGACCCAAAGCTCAGTATATAGTGGGCTATTGCCCGCTATATACTGAGAGCGCTGCAGCCGGGATGGATCCCGAAAACACTGTCAAAATTGCTGGCTGATTGACAGCTGGCTCTGCCTATCTAGAGGCAGAGGCAGCTATGCCTGCCGACTTTCCCATCCGTCCGTCAGTCCACTCAGTGCTGGAGGATCGGAGCGGGGAGGGGGGAATCCCTGTGGGGAGCCGTGAGTGACAGTCACCGTTCTCTGCAGGGAGATGATCGAGAAGTGAGCGAGTGACGGTATGTGTTCGCTCACTTCCCGATCTATAGAGCTGACGTGTGACAGCGTCATTGTCACACGTGGGCTCGAACTATGAGTATGCATGGCAATCACTCCACTCATAGTTCTCCTTTAACTATTAAACCTTTAGATTTTTTTTTCCCCTGACGAGACTCTCCTGGTGTCTGGCCGGCTTTAGGTCGACTCCTTACAAATGACACATGCTAGAACCTGCACGGCTCAGACATCACCTTCTCATTAACTGGTAATTGTGCAACACGCCCGTCTTACGGAGCGTCCCCTACGGCAAAAGGAAATGTACGAGCATCTCCCGAACACACCTTTGTTGTTTTTCTAGACACAGATGTGTCTTCCTATCGGAGAACCTTCCCGAAAGCAAACAACCAATGATTTCATCTACTACAGTTCTTTTCTGGGCCTCGTGCTGTGATACAATCCATCTGCCGCTCACATTTAAACAAACGTATTAGCATTATTGTATAGAGCAGGGGTAGACGCCCTCAGCACTCCAGCTGTGGTGACACTACAAATCCCATCACGCTTCTGCCTCTGAGAGTCATGCCTGTGGCTGTAAGAGTCTTGCAATGCAGCATGGGACTTGTAGTTTCACAAAGGCTGGAGTGCTGAGGTTGCCTATGCCTGCTAGAAAGCATTATGTCATGTTGAATCAAGTCACTCTCATGCTTATCATATACTGTATGCAATGCTCATGTCCTTCAGGGCCAACCTGTGGCTCAGGGGACGCATGTGGCCCTCTTACACTTACTATGTGGCCCTTGGGGCCCCTGCAGTGGTCTGTTCTGGCTAATGTATCAGAAATAATTACCAATGTCTTTATGATACCAGAAAATACTGTTTAACTTGTTTTCATGCGTTCTTGCCTTCTAGTGCTGCTGATCTCCTCCAGCCTTTATCTGCCACTTCCTCTCTACATTCTGATCTCCTCCAGCCTTTATCCACCAGTTCCTATCTACATGCTGATCTCCTCCAGCCTTTATCCACCAGTTCCTATCTACATGCTGATCTCCTCCAGCCTTTATCCACCAGTTCCTATCTACATGCTGATCTCCTCCAGCCTTTATCCACCACTTCCTGTGTACATGCTGATCTCCTCCAGCCTTTATCCACCACTTCCTGTGTACATGCTGATCTCCTCCTGCCTTTATCCAACACTTCCTGTCTACATGCTGATCTCCTCTAGCCTTTATCCACCACTTCCTGTGTACATGCTTATCTCCTCCAGCCTATATCCGCCACTTCCTGTGTACATGCTGATCTCCTCCAGCCTTTATCGGCCGCCCATCGTTTCTCTGGACTGGCTTCCTGATGTTGACAATAATAGACCGAACCGGCGCAGTGTGTTCTGTTTATCTCTATCAAGAGCATCTGTGACAGAGTGACAACACAAATCCTTGCTTGGGAAACAGTTGTCATCCTATAAGAGGAAGTGCCTGAACAAGGACTTTAAGCAGGGATTACTTTCATGAAAGCTGCAGATTTAAAAACAACTTTTGGATTTACATTTATATATTAAAGTATGGAAGGAAGCATTTATGTGTAAAGGAACTACAAGAGCAGTGATCTCTATCAGTCTCATGTAATGTATCCCAAGGCTATGACTATGTCCTATAGCATTTCTCCAGTCTCTACCAACTACAGCATGCTTAGTGTCTCTCCCCATCTCCTATAGCATGCTCGCTGTCTCTCCCCATCTCCTATAGCATGCTCGCAGTCTCTCCCCATCTCCTATAGCATGCTCGCTGTCTCTCCCCATCTCCTATAGCATGCTTGCTGTCTCTCGCCATCTCCTATAGCATGCTCGCTGTCTCTCCCCATCTCCTATAGCATGCTCGCTGTCTCTCCCCATCTCCTATAGCATGCTCGCTGTCTCTCCCCATCTCCTATAGCATGCTTGCTGTCTCTCGCCATCTCCTATAGCATGCTCGCTGTCTCTCGCCATCTCCTATAGCATGCTCGCTGTCTCTCCCCATCTCCTATAGCATGCTCACAGGGGCTGCAGTTGAGGCTCCCTATACTAAGTAACTTGGCCACCACTGCCTCACCGAGTCATTTACAGGAGTTAGTATGGTCATTATGTATATGAATGGGACACGCGTGACCATTGCTGAAAGATCCAATTTAACACCTTACAAAAAAACAAATGTAAAGGAGAACTAAGAGAAAGTGTATTCAAATCATGAAATAAATTACAAGGTGTGAAAAATAAGCTGCCCTCCCTGTGAGATGATAAACTGTGATTGTGATCAGATCTCAGATGAAGCCAGAACTATACAAGGTAAGAATGGGATCAGAACCATCAACAGAGACTGGAGGACATCCCTACACAGAAGTATGACATGGCCCTGCTGTGCCCCCCGAAACATAAGGGCCGCTCACTGCAAAGCCATCCAATGTGGACTGGTGTTTGCGTGCCGGCGGTGGGGCATTGTCTTCTCTTTCTACAACACAGCCATTGTTTACTTTATTTTCTTTCTTTTACATTTTATTGAAGTCACAAAGTGACAGTTCATGTTTTTTCTGCCACAAAATGGACAAACAGAGACCTGCAAACCCCCCCCCCCCCCCCCCCCCCCCCCCCCCCAATCTCTCCTCTCCAGTGTGGTGTGCATGGGACACATAGAACACAAACCTATACCAAATGTAAATGTGAAAACACTAGTAATGTGATTGATCATTGACAGCCAGTATACCGCCGAGCCGGATTTTCCGGGCTGTGTCCTCAATCTGCCATCCCTGTAATACTTGCGGAACTGAAACAGATCTAGTTTACAGAATTCATCATCGTGTCAATTCTCTGAGATCTGGGAAATGATCTGAAGGCTGCAGATGCCCCACGATAAACGTTCTACAGATGGAATCAGTCAGATGTCCCATAAAACCAATCAGACACACACATATAGATCTATATTGATGCACACACATATACATTAATACACGCACACACACATATATTTATTGATACATTAACACTTATGGAGATATATATTTTCACATACACACACACTGAATATATACTGATGCACACACACAAATATATATTGATACACACACACATAGATATATATTGATACACACACACATATATACACACACACACACACACACACACACACACACACATATATATACACTAATGCACACACCCATAGATATATACTGATGCACACACACCCATAGATATATACTGATGAAAACACACACATATTGATATATATGAAGCATGCCGATGTGAGCGCAGTGATCGGTGGCAGCTGTCAGATGCACAGTACGAGCAGTGCACACACAGGTGACACACACTAGGTGTAGTGATGACGTCATTAGGCAACGGTGTGCAGCGTGACATCACGCACAGCTGTCCAGCAGCCATGTCACTGTCACCCAGCCGGGCCCCCTCGGCTCTCTCTGGGTGGAGTAAGGGGGAGCTGCCGGCTGTGGGGGTCCCTTCTGTCCCCGGGGAAGACGCCCCCGCACCCAACCCATCTCTCTCACCTCTCGGGGGCTCCATGCCACCTACTCCCTCTCTTCTTCTTTCCGTGATCCCGGCGCAGCGGCACGTCCGCACCGGGGCGGGATCTGACGTCACTTCCGGAACCTCCTCCGGCACCGGCGGTAACCATGGTAACTGTGCGGCCGCCGTGACGGAGCTGGGGAATGTCAGTGACACCTCGTCCGTATGATGTACAGGCCGGCTTTACAGGCTAGGGCTTTCCCCTGTACATTGGTATCTCCTCAGGACATGGCTGTGCAGAGTCTGCTCTCTATACACATGGAGGTGCTGAATGGCCAGAGAGGAGAGGGTGCTGCCCGGCATGCACAGAGAGGAGGGATTCCATTGTGTGCAGTCTGGCCAGGGTGAATGTCCTCTCCGGGGCTCCTCACCTTCCAGCAAATGAACTGCTACATGGACATGACCTTAAAATGAGTCCCTGTTAACACCTGAGCGTTTTAAAGCACTTTGGCTACCATGCGACAATGCGCGATGAGAGGAATCCATGAGGTCCTATTACACCAGCGCATAGCAGGAATGAACGTCGCGGTTACGTGCGTTTCTGGAACCTTGTTTCCTAGGTTTGGTGCACGTTCCCATTGATCCCCATTGGGTCCCTGGATGACCACCAATTGTGGAAAAGTAGTACATTTGGTGACACGCGTTCCATGTTTGTTTCCAGTGCGTTTGCGTGTGTTCTCACACGCCAATGCGCGGGGAAGAACCGTGCTAGCTTGCCTTCATTTGTGGTGCCATTACCAAGTAAAGGCAACGTAAAGGTGAGCTTTTTTATGGAAATGGTGACGGTCACCATGGCCCTCATCCTTCTGTCTGGGCTGTGATTTGTAGTCTCTCTATAGCTTGGAGTCAGTGGTGGAGCACCAGGGCCTGGTTGCAACTGTGACCCTGGTAGATCTGCCACTGACCCCAAGCTGTAGAGGGACTACAAATCCCAGCAATACATTATACAGCAATGCAGAATACCGCAAACTATGGAGGACTACAAACCCCAGTAATACATTACACAGCCATGCAGAATAATACCCCCAACTATAGAGAGACTACAAATCCCAGTAAAGTAGAATAATACCACAAACTATAGGAGGACTACAAATTGCAGTAACGCATTACGCAGCAATGCAGAATGGCACAAGCTATAGAGGACTACAAATCCCAGCAATACATTGTAAAGCACTGCAGAATAATACCATCAGCTATAGAGGACTACAAATCCCAGCAATAGTTTATATAGCAATGCAGAATAATTTGAAGCTACATACTCTGTGTTGCTCCAGGTGCACAGCCTATTGTCTCCAGGGTCCCAGGAGAGCTGTGTGGGGTTTAGGGTGGCCAGTGCGGCTCTCGGGCAGTCAGTGCAGGCTCTAGGTGGTACGTACAGGCTCTCAGATGGTCAGTGAGGGCGGTCAGTGCGGGCTCTCAGGTGGTCAGTATGGTCTCCCAGGTAGTCAGTATGGGCTTTTAGGCGGTCAGTGTGGGCTCCAAGTGGTCAGTGCGGGCTCCAGGAGGTAAGTATGGGCTTCAGGTAATCAGTATTGGGCTCCAGGCAGTCAATGCGGGCTCTCAGGTCAGTGTCGGCTCTCAGGAGGTCTGTGCTGGCTCTCAGGCGTTCAGTACCGGCTCAAGGCGGTGAGTGCGGGCTCCAGGCGGTCAATATGGGCTCTCAAAACGTCAGTGAGGGCTCCAAGTGGTCAGTAAGATGGGTGGCTGTGGCTGCAGCAAATGCAGCGCTCTGCTCAGGAATATCAGAAGGTACATTGATATGCCTGAATAGAGGGCCGTGGTTGCCTGGTCATGGCTGGCCCAGTCCGGGTCAGCTCGGCCGGGCCTATTTGCTTGCGTTCCAGAGGCCGAGCGCTCTGGAACGCAGTCTTTGTGGTGTAAACTGGCCCTAAAGCCAGTGGAGAGATTTCAGCTCACATCCTGTATTTTACAGCCTGAGCAGTTCATGATGCCTGAACAGTGGGGGAAGGGGGTTTAATCTGTTGACAATGCTAGCTCAGTAAAATGATGGATCAGAACAGAACCAAGTGCTAAATGCACTTGGCTTCTTTACAATAAGGGTATAGTGGTGTTATATATTTCCTATTTATTACTACAAAAGAAATATACACATGGCAGACTTTTAAGGCAACCACTCGGACCATTTAGATCAGTTTATGAATTGACATATTTTATTGGATTTGTACATTAACCGATAAAAAGATATATATCAATAAAAATGGCTTCCAAAAAACTGCATCACTTCATTACATTGCTCAAAACTAGACATATGCATTGGCAAAAGAATCATTGTGTTCATTTTCATTCGGATCTTTCAATCATTAATTTTTCGATATTCGGGTCCGAAAGGCAAATCGTTTCGGGATTCGGATGTACGGTAGTATGTACGGATATTCGTTGCAGCAAAGTCACGTTAGACAAAAGAAAAAAAATATGACATTTTATTTGATTTCATTTTTTTACAGTACACAGAAGAGAAAACAAAAAAATGTGAGGTTCCTTCTAATTAATACCAGTCCCTTTAGATCTGGTAGGAATGTTAGGAGGGTCCCGCACAAAAAAACAAAGTGCGTAGGGGTCCCCCAAAAGTCATACCAGGCCCTTAAGGTCTGGTAGGAATTTTAAGGGGGAACCCCACCCCCCAAAATAGGAGGAAAAAACGTGGGGTCCCCTCTAAAATTCCTACTAGACCCTTGATCCGAGCATAGACCCGGCAGGGCAGGAAAGGGGATGACGTTCGAGCGCCCCCCTCCTTGCGCCATACTAGACTACTTCCCTCAGCCTGGGGAGGGTGCCCCCATGCCGATGACCCGGTGGTTGTGGGGGGTCTGCGGGCAGTGGGGCTTATTTGCATTGGGTTACCCCTTTAATTAAGGGGGCGCCCAGATGCCGTCCCCCTCCCCCCATTTGAGCTACAGCTCGCGGTATACTGAGACGCCGCAGCCAGAACGGATCCCGACAATGCTGTCTGGATCCACCCAACTGCGTGATTGACAGCTGGCTCTGCTTATCTAGAGGCAGAACCAGCTGTGCCCACTCCCTCCCTCCGTTCGTTCCGCCAGTCAGCGCTGGAGGATTGGACAGGGGAGGGGGGAATCCCGGCAGGGAGCCGTGAGTCACAGTAACAGCTCTCTGCAGGGACATGATCGAGGTGACGGTATGTGTTCGCTCACTTCTCGATCTATTGAGCCAATGTGTGACAGTTTCATTGTCACACGTCGGCTCCAACAATGAGGATGAGTGAAAATAACTCACCTCATAGTTCTCCTTTAAGTCAGAGACTATAGACATGCTACAAGAGATGATCAGAGGCTGCAAATATACTACAAGAGATGGTCAGAGACTATAGACACGCCAAAAGACATGGTCAGAGACTACAGGTATGCTACCAGAGAATGTAATTTATTAGTGTATGGGGTCTTTCCAAACATCGGTCATTCCAACTCGGATTTGGGTTCTGGTGCCCAGGTCCTTCAAGGCGACCCTTGTATCAGAATACAATGCAAACAGCGGGATTCCTCGATCGACATGCTGTTTGTGTTGATTAAGGAATGGCGTCAGTTTCTTCCGTTCAGTCCGCGGGTTGAACAAAAGAAATTGACAGGTGTATGGCCAGCCTTAGTTTCAAAGAGCTACATTTGAAGCAGAATGATGGTTTTGACCCCATAGACTTCAATGGGGCCATGTGAAGGCCTGTGAATGCTGAAGCTTGGGTGTGAATGCCGCCTAAGGCTGTGTTTTTGGGTGTTTTCTTCCCGTGTATTCAGCCTTGACTGTATTTGTTTTAACTACTAGGAAGCTCAGTGCTAACAAAACCCCAGGAGAATGCATACAGACAAGACTGGCGGGTTTGTACCTTTGCCATCCATATGTTTTATGCCAGTGCGTGTTGTATTGGCCACTCGATTACCGCCCTGTATATACCCCTTCGTCACCAGCCCGGTATTCAGTGCTGACAATTACTCATTAGTCGGGTAATAATTGACCCAAATTAATTTTAGAGCTTTCTCTTGGTGTGATTTGAAGAAGGACTCAAACTAACCTTTGCAATGGGGCTACCCCTGCACTGCAACAGTTAACGGCTCGTTTTGGTCTAGGGGTAAAAATAAAGATATACCCACGCGATCCTCGGTCCTGTAGCAGTCAGCACTCACCTCTCTCTCCCTCCACTCCAGCAGTGGGATGCCCCTTGATGTGCTCACATCTGATGTAGGTTCATTAGGCATGAGGACGCTGAGAGACAAACCACAGCTGGAGCAGAGGGGAAGAGATGTGAGCGCTGACTGCTGCAGGACTGAGGATCAGGTGAGTATAGCTACACCTGCACTGCAAGGGTTACGTGCTCATTTTATCCAATGAAAGACTTTCAGCTGTTTGCAATGAAAAATCAAACAAAAGCAAATTAAATAGGTCAACACAATGAATGTTTCGAATGGTTTCACTAAATTTAACTGAAAATGCAACTTCTAATGACTTCTGCAGTCTTAAAACTATTCAACCCCTTAATGGCAAGCATCTTTAGTACTTAGTAGAGCACCCCTTTGCGGTTTTGGCCTGCTGCAAATGAGATGCAAAGCCAGACACCAGCTTCTGGCAGCGTTCCTGAGGAATCTTAGCCCATTTCTCAGGAGCAGTGGCCTCCAGTTCACTAATATTTTTGGGTTTGCGTGCTGCAACCACCTTCTTCAAATCCCACCAGAGATTGTCTAAGGGGTTCAACTCAGGTGACTGTGATGGCCACTGTAGAACCTTCCAGGACTTCTTATGCAACCAAGCCTTGGTGGAATCTGAGGTATGATTGGGATCATTGTGCAGTTGGAAGGTCCAATGATGCCCAAGCTTCAGCCTCCTCACAGACAGCATTACGTTTTCTCCTAGGATTTCCTAATACTTCAATGAATCCATCTTGCCTTCCACACACTGTAGGTTTCCAGCGCAAGAGGATGCAAAGCAGCCCCAGAGAATCACCGAGCCACCACCATGCTTAACTGTAGGTAGAGTGTTCTTTTTAGTGTATTCTTCATTCTTCTGCAAACTGAAACCTCAATGTCTGT